AATCTGCTTCACGTCTGCACAAAATCTGTACAGATCTGTTACAAAAATCTGTCAACACGTTTTATTTGAGTGCCGTCAATGCTAGCTAAAAAAGCGAAAAATCACGTTGGTTAGTCTAACAACTAATGTAAACTTTTTCTATGATATATATCCACGAAAATAACACCCTCTACAGTGTAGAACGGTGAATATCTCGGTACTTGTGGCTGAGCTGAAACAAATGAAAAGTGGAAATGGAATCATTTCTCAACCAGCGCACAGCCGCAGTATATAACGGCTTCATACGGGTTTTCTGAATACTTGATCTTATAGCTATCTTACATTTGTCACAAAAAAATTAAAGATATACTCACGAACAAAAATAGATTTTGCATCTTTTAAATCGTCTCTAGCCGATCGCCGCACCTTTTCTAGTTTTAACAGAAGTTTTTCAATCGGCGGCAGCGTGTAAGTCCGATCGGCGCACAGGTCTAACTGTGAGGACCCACAATTCTAACCACTGTTGTAGATGATCTGTGATTCTTTTGTGGCGCTTTTTACGTTTGTAACTATAGAAGAAACTTAATTTTCAATCCAGCAGTTAGTGAAACATTTAATTTAGTTTATTCTAAACTAGATAGTAAAAATATATCTGACAAAATAGCGAACATGATTTAAAGAAAAGAAAAAGTCCAAAAATAATACATGCAAAACAATATTCAAATAAATGACAGTGGTATTATCAAAACCATTCTTACCATTTATTACGCTCGGAGTAACCATCGCTTTTTGGGGTAACTGTTATTTAAATGTTGCTCCACATTAGCATTACGAATCTATTTTCAGCACAGAGCACGTTGGTGTTGGTCGAATCCGTCTGAAATGTTCCATCATTACAGCAACTTGCTCCGCTTCATTTAGAAGCAACCTAGTTTTATAGAACTTATCAAGTTACGTAAGAAACTGTCTTTTCTGACTTCATAGTTAAAACCGAGAAAAATGACTTTTACTCTTCCAGCAAAAGTATAGGATTCGGTGCCACTTTCAATGCAAGTTCATCAGTGCTGCGATAAGTTTTACAACATCTTCTCCCTTTTTTCAGCAAAGTCCTTAGGATTTTTATTAAAGAGTAAGACATGAACTACATTCTTTAAAACATTGAAGGATGTTCCATGTAAGGTTCACGAGATATTAAATTCTTAAAAACGACGTATGTTTGAGTTTCATCTCAGTATTTTAAACTTGGGTTTTGATAAAAACAACTTCCTATAGGTTTTCTTACATTCTTAGTTCGATTATGACCATAAAAAGTTGAAGTCAGAAAAGACAGTTTCTTATGTAAGTTGATGAGCTTTATAAGACTAGACTGGTCTGAAAGTCCACGATGCCGTTGTTTTAAACATGATATTCGTCATCAGGAGCTCGAGTTATGCTAGTCCTGTTACTTTCGAATTGTTGGGATAAAGTTGATGTAAACTCTGGTACACTTTCAAAAGAATCACCCTACAATTTGTCCTGTTCATTAGAAAATTATGTACTTTTGCCGCGCTGCACCAAATTAGGTAAAAATTGGGCGCTATGTGCAAAAAATATGAATTGGGTATGGAAGCAATTAGTAATTGCTTCCATACCCAATTCATATTGTTGCTGAATAAATGCAATATTTAATCCACTAAGATTAATCTAAACAAAAAAACTACTGATAATTAAAAGAAAACAAAACTATTCAAGTCAGATTGCTAATAAAGTTTTTTGTTATATGTTTTCAAATCGTATAAAAGACAGCCGTCATAATTTATTGTATATTTCCTTCACCATCAATACGGAACACATCAATGTCAAATTCTTTTTCTAGGGCACAATGTATCATTAGATCATGAATATCAACTTTATTTTACATAAAAAGACTTTGTTCATTAAAAATAATAAGTTTTTCCTATCGTGAATTATGTGTGAAAAGGGAAGGGAACAACTTTATCGTTGTTTTCTTTATATACGATGTCTACAAGACGATATATGCATGTTTTATAGAATATTCGATTTTGTACATGTTATGTCCAGCGAAGAACCAAAGTAAAAGTAATCGAAAAAAAAAGAAAGAGTTATTGTGTTAGCTTCTTTCATTCTTATAGATAGTTCCGGATAGCAAAAATAAAAAACTTATTGTTTTAGTGAACAAAGCCTTTTTATGCAAAATAAAGTTGATATTCATCATCTAGATGAGAAATTGGATCGAACCATATAAGTCTATAAGTTTCTTTCATGTTTTTCTACGATCTTTTTACATAAAGCATTTCTCACTCGATCTTTTGCTATTAGGGGTGACATCTGCTAAACGAATACCACATACTTAGGCGGCATCAGTATCGTTCTTTTCCTTTCGTCTAATATGTTTGCCACTGGACAAGTAAGATAAAGAATGAATCGCTTATTTTCGGCAAATTTTTCGTGTGGGAAAGCTAGCGCACATATTAGGCGTACGCTTCCGCACAACTTTCCCAGTATCGTAATATAGAAGTACAACGACACGTTTTATTCTTTTCTCTTAAGAATTTATATTATATATATGTTATCAGGAAGGTGTTCAGATATAATACTGCGTAGTCAATACAAGGAGTATACGAATGTTTTTTCTATTTTCGGTGTTGATGACTATTTTTACTGACCAAATTTGATTGATCTATCCCATGGTTACACCAATTAAATTTGTCAGTAAGGTCGGTCGGTCAGTAAAAATAGTCACCATCTTCTTCTCATTTTTTATGCCCGATTACAATTAAAGAGATATTCGAGATTCAAAATTTTAGAGGTCTCTAGTCGACTGGGTGAAAAGCGAACTTTAAACTAACATATAGTAGATATTGCTTTAACTGTAACAGAGCATAAAAAAAATAGAAATAGGAAATAAAATCCTTTTCAATTTATGTTTAAACTTTATACTTTCATCCAATCAGTTGGTAACACAAATTCGTACTTGTTTTTCCAGGAAATCTATAACATGGAGGTTGGATGAGTCATCGTACACTGGGACGACACAGACCATTTTATATTAAACGAGACATGCAAAAAAGTGTCCGTATACATTGTATATAACGAACACTGGTAGCATTAAGCACTTTTTATTTTTCATTTGTTGATCACATTTATTCACAACAGAGGCACAAAAGTCTGTAATGGATGACAGAAATTTTGAATTTACGCTTAACGTTATTTCCCTGAACGAAATCTTTTACCAACCCTTCTTTTAGCCGTTATTATCGGCTATTATTTTCGGCTAAAGAAAGACAACGAAAACGTAGAGTTTAGTATATTTTGAATATGGCAATTTTTTGGTTGAATTTTCATCACGTTCCTGATTTCGTAAGAAAAGACCCAAAGCAGCAGGGAAACTGGTATGATTTAAGGACATATTAATGATTACTTAAGACTAAAAGGAAACGTACCCTCTCTTTACATCTGTACGGTCGGGGCAATATTAACTATCTCTTCTCATCTATCGGACAACCTCGGAAGTCTTGGAATTTTGGTAATCCCTCTTTGAGTTGCCAGAAGTGAAAGCTTCCGAGAATGAAATACCAGTTAGATGTGTAAGAAACAAAATTAAACTGATATACGAAATACACGCGTACACATCGCTCAAAAACTGGCATTGTGTTCAGACTACAAAAAGAAATAAATTGAATAGCAATTCTATTTGATACACAAATTATTCCAATTATTTTTATGAAAATCAAGTTCACAACTTATTCACTAACAGACTGCATCTGTGATCAAGCGTACTGAAAAGCTGTGATTCAACTCTAATATGATACAAAGACGACTGTAGCAGGTGCTGCATACAGTCCCGTACAAAATTATAGAAATGATTTGTTTTTTGATTTTTCTTGCTGCAAATCAGATCTGCGGAAAACTACGGCTTTAGAAAACAAAAAAAATCAAGTTTCGGAATTCTAAGTGAAACTTTTTGTGAACAGCTTATTCGTGTAGGGCAAACATTTTTGAATAAAATTAAACGTCGCCGAACTCTCCACGATGTTTTTTCATCAAACTGCATTCAATTTATGAATCACGTCAAATCAGCAAAAATAATAGTAAAAACGACCATTCATAACTGGGTCATTCATAAACTGAATGCACTTCGTTTTCTAAAGCCTTAGTTTTCCACAGACCTGGTTTGCAGCAATTTTAATGAAATTTTCATATACAGCTGATCTGATTAGAAACTGTTTCAGCTATTCAAATCATTTTTCAGATTTGTTCTCTCTATTACGGTCGAGCTTAAAAATCCAAAAAAAAAATCGTCTCTATAATTTTGCACAGGACTGTATGTGTACACACGTGCGTTATTGGACACAGAAGAGATAAAAAGGAATAATATGAGAGATTGGGAATAAGAGAAAGAGAGAGAGAGAGACAAAAAGATAATTAGCTATGGTGTACGAATGATGTACATAAGAAGCGGAAAATAATACACATAAAGGAGAAATTCAGTACCTGTGCGGCTTATAAACACAATTCTTAGTAGGAAATAACGTCATAGTCTGAACAGGTAGCTTTCTTCTTGAATTTATTCAAACTTCTTAATTTGGTGTATTTTTCGTAGTCTCAACAAGATCTAAATTAACACCATTCACGTATTTTTTATAGTTTACAAAGAGCAGGTGATAATCACTATACATTTTTAGAATGATTTACTTGTTTTTCCAGTTGAAATTATTTCTTCCAGCGAGTATTGATTCAATGATTCAATATACGTTCTTCTAAGTGTGAACTTCTCATTGATAAAATAAAACTGGCATAATAGGCGTATATAATAACTTAATAATGTAATAGTTCCGAGCAGTACAACTTCCACAGTTTTTTCATGAAAAATAAAGACAATAGAATTTTCATCGATTAAAGATCTAAAGATCGCAACTATATCATAGTCAAATATTGATAGACATGTATATGACCTTTCTATTATTTAAAGAGAACTTTATTTTAGATTATTTTGTATTCTACTTAAACGAACTCGAATCATGGCTGAGAATATTTTGTCCAATTCAACGGCAGATAAAGTGGTTGAGAATGTTGAAAAAGTTGCTAGTGGGGTTGGAAAAGTGGGCGGCAAGGTGGTAGATATGTTACAAGAGGCCGTTCAGACAACGGTAAGATTTTCTTAAATGGGCGATATGAAACTTCTTTTTTTTACTATTACTACAGAGATTTTTTGAAGCGGATGAGTAAAAATCCAATTTGAGTTCTCATACGTAGGAGAAGTTAATAAAAAAATATTAGTAAGTAACTAATATATATTTTATTTTTTTTTCATTTTGTTTTAGGTATCTGATACAGATTCATCTGGTCTTGAAGAATTTTCAATATTGAATTATTTTTCAAGTTTTTTTATTCATATAGCTCTTATTGTTATTGTTATCGGTTTAAAATGGCAATATGATAGAAATCGTTATCGTTATCCGAAAGGTCCACGTGATTGGCGTCATATATCCGATGCAATATCGTTTCATCGTAAAAAACGTGAAAATTTGTTAGTATTAGCAAATGATTATCCACAAATGTGTACAGTTGTAACACATGTTGGCAGAGTAATATTATTGAATGATCCATCATTAATTAATGAAATATTTATTGGACGAGCAGATTTATGCAGTAATAAAATTGATAGTTATCTCGAAAATCAACTACGATATAAAACAGGAAAACATTTACGTACAGGTATATTAGAAAACTATCCATGAATTTTCCTCATACCAATGTGCTTTTCTATATTAAATTCTGAACAAATATTTCTCAAATAGCGTTACATACTAATCTTTAAAATACGAGTATTTCTATTTTTTGTATCTAATTGTAACGAATAATTAGAGTTTGCTAATTTAAATCTGAAATTTCATTTGAAATCAATTAACGAATGCATTTGTAACATGAAAACTCCCATATACGACTGAGCTGATTGATAATAATTACTTATTCCTTTAAAATAGTGCTCGATTCATTAGACTAATTATTCGTGTGTTTTAATTCTATTTAATATTTATTATTTAGGGATTGTTTTTCGTCATTATGATCATAATGGACAAGTAATTCATCGTTCATTAGTCGAACATGTTGATCAAATTTTAGCTCAAAATAAATTAGATCAAGTTATACAAGAACAATTTGAACAATTTCGTTCCTATTTAAGTTCAAATTCGTCTAAATTTGATGTTCGACGTTCAACATTTCGTTTTGCACTACATATTCTCACTCAATTATGTATTAATCGTACATTTAAGTATGATGATAAAGTATTTGAAACTTTTACAAATAATTTGTATAAAATCAGTAAAACAATTCATGAAGATACGGTAGCTAAAACATCAAAAGTAGCATTAACACAACTAACTGGTCTATCCGAAACATTGGATATTAATGAGACTGTTTTAAATTATATTCAAGAATGGGTGAAAGAACGACATCCAAATGAAACTACTGATGATTCACAAGTAACCAGTACATCGAGTGGTGATATATTAGATTCTATTATAAAAGTTGTTCCAACCGCAGCACCTCATATTGATAATGAAGATGTAGCAGCTATGATATTAGATGTTGTTATGCATGGAAGCGAAATGTTAAAAGGAGCTTTAACATGGCTATTATTGTATGTTGTAAAATATCCACATGAAGCTAATGAAGCGAGAAGAGAAGCAAAGTAAGCTAATACTACGAGTCGATTACTGCCTGTATTTATATAGTTAAAAGTCAAGCGCTTATAAGTGTTATTTCTCTCAAACTAATGAGGGAAGCTCACCAAGTGTCACACGATTTTTTCAACGGCACATACCTATCTTGTTGAGCTCAATGCACCGATCACAGTGCTACTAAGCACTCGTCCTCTCGAGCCTTCAGTAATGAATTATAGGACAAAGAAAACTGAGAAAAAAGTCATTTTCAACACAAAAACTGACTCAAATTTGCATAAAAATATGTTTTCAAATAATTCTACTTACATCACAGAATTCTGCCTGGTCAAGTGCACTATTTCGTATTCGAAGCAGAGATATATCTTCTCAACATAATGTTGAGAAGAAACATTTTATTTTATTGCTGAAACTCTGGAATTCTTCATTTGTAAGAGTATGCTCCAACGGAAAACATTTGGATTCTCTCTTCTCTGACAGTAGTAAATGCGATGATGGTAAAACTCTAACTGTCACAACATCTGGAAATAGTGCACTTGACCGCACAGAATTCTGTGGTGTAAGTAGAATTAGTTGAAAGAAACCTGTTATGCAAATCTGAGTCAATTTTGTGTTGAGAATGACTTTTTTCTCAGTTTTTTTTGTCCTATAATTCTTCATTGAAGGCTCGAGAGGACGAGTGCTTAGTAGCGCTGTGATCGATGCATCGAGCTCTATAGGATAGGGTATATGCTACTGAAAAACCGCGTCACACGTGATGAGCTTTCCTCATAAGTACAATCCTTTCTCCTACATACGAAGAGAGGATTGTAGAGCACGTCACTATATTCCATTTTAGTTGTTTTTTTGATCATAAGTTCTTGATCCCGTGCCTTGAACTTCTGTTCATTGAACGACAATTCTTCTCTATTGGTAAAGTTTAAAAAAAAACATCTATTTTTCTTTTTTGTTCTCGTATTTAGATCACATGGGTACTCAAAATTTAATTTTAAAAATGCAGATAAATTAACGTATTGTCAGGCATTTGTTAAAGAAGTTTTACGTATGTCACCTGTTGTGCCTGTTGTTATCCATTCAACATTACAAGATCTTAGATGGCGTGATTTTCATATACAAAAACGAACGTTATTCGGAGCGAATATCTATGCTTTACATCATTCAGTACAATGGTCTGAACCAACCACATTCAACGTTCAACGTTGGATTGGTGATAATGCAGAAAAAATCTCTCTTAACAATTATGCTCCATTTGGTACGTCATCAAATTTAATATTGCCACGACTGAAATCTGAATACTAAAATTGTTATTTTTAGGTATTGGACCACGACAATGTGTTGCAGAAAAATATTTATTCTCAATATTAACCGGTTTATTTGCTGTATTATTGCATAATTTTAATTTTGAAAAATCTGGTGCAATACCCGATCCAGACGAAGGTATGCTTTGTTGTTAATAGCTCATTACTAGTTCGTATTTGAATTGTCCACAGCATGACTGATAAAATATTTCGAAAGAAAACTAATATAAGAAACGTTGCCTACTGGATTGTGAATGATTCTTCTTTTTTCAGAATCCATTCTCTATGTGCCTCGTTTTCCGTCATTTTTCCTCTTTTTAGATGATTTTGTTATAAAAATGCCTGAGTTTTAGCAATTTTATATATTTTGAATAACTTTTCTATGAGATAATTAATTATCACGTGTCACTTCATATACATTCAGAACAAACAGTGTTCAGTGACTCATTAAGTAATCACATGCTACTTATCAGTCTATATTCTGTGATGCATTTATAAGATAATTGATGATCACGTGATATCATTTATAGTGAATATATACTATAGTGCTTGATATAATGGAAGAATTATATAGAGACTTGCAATACACTACACAAATTATTAATTATTTTTTACTACACAAATTTTAGCATCGGACCGTCAGAAATTTGTCATCTGTTTAGTTGCCTAAAGATTTAAACTTGATTTATTAAGAGTACGACTTGGGGTTCCTTCAACTGTGATATTACTATCTTAAAGATCTGACGTTTCTTTGTTTAAGATGTGTATAGTTTTCTTTAACTACGGATAAAATTCCCGAAAGAGATAGAAGATGAAGTTTTACTTTGATCATAGAACTACGCTAATAAACTTATTTATCAGTGGCATTTTCTTAAAATATTTTGAATATATAAAACCTATAAGTTTTCCGTTGACTTTCATCGATCTGTTGTATATAATAAAGAGAATATAACAGTACAGTACTTTTTTTTATTTTATCATATATCACTGTTCACGTCTCATATTTTTGTTTGTTTATTTTAGGAACATTTGGTATGGCAAATTTACCACCATCATTTTCACTTTCAGCTGAAGAGTTGGGCGCCCACTAGTCAAACTTAAACATTAAAGAAAAAAAGAAAAACTGTTTAATTTTTCTATATTTAATTAATTTTATTCAAGCATATTCAAGCATATATATTTCTTGACAAAAAAAAATCGATCGGTTTCTTTTTTCCTTTTACTCTGGCAATTCCGACTTCATAATCTTTAAAGATGACAGATCATTGCATGGTTAGAATAGTTGATTACATGCACTGATGATACTTGTTTGTGCGTGTTTAAGATGAGGACTTAACCATATGCAGGAAAGCGAATGAGAATTGTTGAGAACAGTTATGGACGTGTTGGAAGGATCATGTTGACTTTAAAATTTTTCATTTCTCTATTTTTTTTTTCATTTATTTCGACTAATGTATCTGTAGAATGTCGAAGTAAAAACACTTTTTTATTGCTACTTATCTTTTTCTACTGTACCACATTTCTGTTTTTTTGTTTTATTTTTCTTTTATTATTCTTTCTTGGCGAAAAGTATAGTGTTTAATCGTCTAATTTTTATACAATGCGTTTTTAACGCATTTTCGAATATTCAAAAAAGGCTCAATGGAAATTTATATACTCCAGATTGATTTACATTAGCACAGCATATATAGTTACACATTTTATTTAATGAATGAAAGAACGTATGTGCAGTAGGACAACATTTCATCCTAGCCAATGTTCCATGAACAACGAGGCCTAAATACTACACTCAATGTCAAATTTGAATAAATTACATATTATCTATTGTGTCTGATACTTTTTCATGTCGTTGAGATAACTGCACAAACCGTACTTGTTTGTAATATTAGCTTGTATCGTACTCGTCTTCCTTTTCTCCTAAATAAGATATTCTTCTATTGTGAAAACTTCCAAGGACTTGTCCGTTCTCCGTAGAAGATGGAAGTGTGAGGTTTATTTTTATAGGTAGAATCGTATGAAAAAAGGCCTCATGAAATTTTGTGTGCTTACCAGACTGAAAGGTGTTTAAAAAGTCTAAAAGTGATGTTTACAAGTGCTGAATATCGCCATCTGGTATTTACAAAATCTGATTCTTTGGTGTTTATAAGCACTGAATATCACGCTCGGCTCCTCTTGGACTAGTATTTAAAGCCCTTCGACTGAATGTCACCTCTTTACTTTGATGAAGTTTACTAAAGTTTATGGAAGTTTTCACATTTTTTGCTGCAGGGAAGCAACGCTGACAAGTTCTTATCTCCTTTTACTCAAGTTTTCCTCCTTTTTGTAAAAAATGGGCAAAGTTGGCTGGTCTTAGAGCAATTAGAGTACTACCAGAAAAAAGAGTTAGTCCACGAAATTTTCATCGTAATTTTCTTATTAAACTTCGATATTGACCAGGATGATTGAGTCGACTGTTCTCTACACATCGATGTAAAAAACTTCTAAAAATCTGTAATTGTTGTTGATATATCAAATGAGATTCGAATAGTTTTGATTGACTCTTTCCACCATAGCTTGAAAAACTCCTTCTAAATTGAACGAAAAACAATCAAGTTTACAATATTAGAATATCCGAGATGACACCATCTCGATTGAGAACAATTTGAAACTGTGCATTTCTGAAGAAGAACAATATTTTATAATTTATCTTAAAGGAGAATATATTCAGCTGCTGCACTCTCGAATGAGAACAATTTATAAACTTATTCTTAAAGGAGAACATTTTCAGACAGTACACTCTCGAAGGAGAAAAAATAGCCGCTGCAAAGAAACATGATCGAATCTCCTACAGAAAATTCCCAGTATAGTGCTGAAAAACGTCCGGCACTACCAGTGCGGACGGCATGCTATGCTGCACCGGTACGTACTAGTTCCACGTTTTTCCAGTCACCGTTTGTTATCTACGATTGCACTATGTTTTACTCGGACTTTTCTTCGAGACCATAGTGCAATGACATTTTAATGCGAGCAGACAATGCTTTGATCTTGTTATAATCTTTATCTGAAAAGGAAAAATCAGTATAAATAGCGAGTCAGGTAGTAAATTCAGAGGATGTACACAGTAAATTCAGCTCTCTGTTCCCTTATCTAAATAGGTCTCATTTTCTAGTGTAAAAAGTACCTTATATAACAGACACTGTTTTACGTCTCGTTTAAAATGAGGAAAAAACGTTCGTATCGTCAATCATACATGTGGCGAGAGTATATGTATACGTTTATATCACGTGGATAAGCACGTGGAGCAATCTATTTTTTTCTAACAGTTTGAAGAAACATGCTTTCTATAGAACGCACGGAGGACTGGGGCTCAGCCATTCCGCCTCATTCGCAGAATATTAGATTGGCTCGAGTACCGAACTGATCCTAGCGATAATATATACGGACATACATTCTCTGCAAGTCCAAGCGTGAATGTTTTCTCCACGTACGCCTAGCGTTACCTTACGGTAAACCTCACAGGCGAGCTATAAACCATTTAACCACTCTCACTTTTATTCTGAGATCAAATGCCAGTTATATGGCAAACCATAATTGAGAAATACATAAAAAAGAACTATTAATACGGTTCTTATGACAAGTAGAAAGGATTTAGACAAAGAGAGGGCGTGTTAATAAAACTGCCGTGTACAAGTCTGATCTTAACTTCAAAGTGAGTCTAAGGTAAATGATTGACCCTGATTGCATTATGTTCCCGAAGAGAAAACAATACGGTGAAATCACTGTTTCAGCTACCTTAGGACACATTTTCTTTTTAAGCGACTCTTTTATATCAAAAGTTTTTCTTTTTCACTTTTCGTTTCTCATAAGAATCTTAAAAGAATGACAAAATATGCTAGAGATCATTTATGCTAGAGGTCAATAAATGGCAGAGTCATTTATGCTAGACAACCTTCCCGAATAGACAAATTATGGAAGAGAAAGAGCCGTTTATGCTGGAGAGTAATAAATGGCAGAGCCATTTATGCAAGGAAAAAAGCCATTTATGCTAGACAACCTTCCCGGATAGGCAACTGTATAGTCATTTATTCAGAAAAAAGTGTGGGTAAGCCATTTATTCTAGAAACGGCGCAACTTATTATTTTCTTAAGAAATTGTAAGCCCTCGCGCTTATATATTCTGATGAATTTAGTGTTTTTCAGCTTAAAAACCACATCCGCCTTTTTTGCTTGCGTTCCTTCTTTCAAAATTTTTCGATTCCTCTTTAGTTCCTTCCTCTGTTTTAGAAAAACTTGTACTTGTATATTTTAAGTACTCCAGCTACTTTGTTTCCTCTCGGGAGTGATTTCGCAGTTTCTGCCCCTAGTTCAACGATAATGTGTCAATGACCGAATACCTACGTCTGAATGTCCTGTGGTTGAAAATAAAGCATGGAGAGACGTTGTCTACCTGATATATATTTCTATCTGATATTGAGAATCGTAGTATAAGCTTAAGAAATAATCCAAACAGTTCTATAGGATTCTTCATCACGTACACCTAACTCAGACCACCATATTATAGGAGAACAAAAACAAAATAGTAGTGAATGAGAACTAAAAGATAAAAAAGTGCTTGAAGTACTTGCAACTTAATTAAAGTAAAGGTATTATTTTTGAAAGTACAAGTACAAAGTGCACTCTGATATTGATGATCATTTGTGGGAAGCGTGAAAGTGTTTGATCAAGTCTAAACCGAGAAACGCTCAAGACTAATTTTCTAATCTAAACATAATGAAAAGAAATTATTTTGAACATAATATCATGCAGCAAAGTTGAATAATAATATATATTCTAATGCTTCGAAGTGTCATCGTTCTTTTTATGTACCATAGGTTAGCTTTACACATGTGTTCTGGCACAAAAGCTGGTTTTATCAAAGCTTATAAGCGATATTTATTTAATTACAAGCTTTTGAACTCTTTCTTCGTATTTAGTTGAAATTTATTAACTAAATGTTTCGACATGTTAACATATCATCATCGGTAGTTAAAATAAAATAGTCTATAGGCCTACAATCGAAAATTAGAACAGTTTTTGAAAAATTTCAAGACAACACGATGTTTACAATAGTAAAAATAAAATAAGAGTTTATAAATGTCATACACAGGATTTATCTATATATTTATCTTATCTGTCGTCTCAAATTGTAGATACCTCGCATTTTCAGTTCTATACTCAACTACTTTCTCTTCACTCTCTCTCCTCCTTTCTCCTCCTTTTTTTATCTGATTTTCCTTTTCTTTCTTTAGAGAAAAAGGATTTCTATCCGTTTGTACATTCTATCACCGTCTTTTTTTTATCCATTTATCTATTGTTGGTCTCCACTGATGACTAATGCTTGTTTTATTGCTATACGACTTGTTGGCAATAAAATATGTACTTTCTAACCTTTTTTGTTTGAAAATATTTGGCTCAACTTCGTAAAAAATGAAACTATGTTCTCAATTATTGTAAACTTGTTTTGCTTTAAAAAAAATCGTGAAAAGTAGTGAATTATTTTTGCATTCTCATATTACATTCGAACAGAGGAGGTTCAAATAGTTTCGTTTCCTTTCCTATACCAACGCAAAAAAGTCAAGTTTATCTCTTATGAGTTTTGATAAAAATCAGCTTTTGTATCAGAACACATGTGTAAAGCTAACCTATGGTACATAAAAAGAAAGATGACATTTCGAAGCATTCGAATATATATTGTTATTCGACTTTGACACATGATACTGTGTTCAAAATACTTTTTTTTCATTATGTTTAGATTAGAAAATTATGGAAATTGAGGTTGTGCAGTAGTTCTCCATATCTTTTTCATTCTTATAGTATGTAGAACAACAAAACGGTGAATCTTTTCAAAAAGAAGTTTATGTCTACAAGGTTAAAAATAAGGAAAGTGATGCAAAAAATATGAAGAGGATCATTTATTCTGTGTGTCATCAGTTGAAAATCGAAATCAAAATACCAATATCTTTTTTCATCAGTTTTTAGCAGTTACAGTTTTACAGTAGTAACTGTTGCCTATCTATTAACAATTATATTATTCATCGTATACTTCAAAATTGCTGTATTCGAATCCCGACTATATTAATTAACCTTGAACAAATTGCTTGTATTCATGTACAACAAAACACGTGTCCTATAACACACCTGAGGTGTGTTATGGGACGCGTGTAGTAGTACTACCTTATGACATACCTTTACGTTGTCATGAAGCTAATAGAGAATTGGTAAGAGTGTATTGGAGAGCCTTCACGCATAAGAGCGACAGTTTGGTAACCAATAAAGGGGTGAATGATCGACGTGGAAGATCATTGATTGAAGGGATGGTATTGAGATAGTCGAAACTGGCAAGTCTGATTGGTCAGCACTCTATAACGACAACAGTGACTGCAGTATCCTTCTTTTCTTCGTGACTTTAACCAGTGCCGTAACTAGAATTTTTTTACCATTGGGCCAACTTTCTGGCTGGGCCACATTCTGATAATTTGAGAAAAGACTAGGCCAAAAACCCTTTTTTCAAATTTTCAGCTGGGAAAATTATAAAGTTCAAAATCTTATTGATCCAAGACTCAAATTACATTTGGGCTATGACCCAATGTTCCCTCTCTCCGTAGTTACATTACTGACTTTAACGACGGTTTATCTGTGATAATGTCTGTTATGTTAAAAAATATTTACGTTTGATATTGTGTTTGCTTCATAGATTTAGTTAAAAGAACAAAAATCTAAGTACAAGATACTGAGTAGAATAAGTCAGAATGAATGAATTTATCACAGACTATTTAGAAAACAATAGAAAGTTTTATTCTATTTTGTTTTATTAGCTAATAAACGATACACACTCATGTAGTTTCATGGTGAACGACTATGTTTAAAACTCGATATTTTTTTGTATTTGTCTTCTCATAAAAAACAGAAAAACAGGTCATCTAAGATACGTAGTAAGTATATTATCAAATTGAAGAGCCTCTCATAGAAGAATGAGATTCAGATTAATATTTATTTTCAATTATAAAGAAAATAACATGAATGGTTTAATATAGAATAAAGATTTAAAATTTAATTCTAAAACCATATCGAGGCTTGAATAGTATTACAAATACAAAAATATACAATATTTTATGTAGTTCATTAAATATCATTTATTTTAATGATTATGCTTGTGATCAGCAGCATGACAGTCTGCTTTGGTACAATGTTCTTGTTCTTTTGCTTTCTGTTTACCAGCGTCTAATGCATGATCAATACGATCACTAGCTGGACGATTTGGATCACTTGCTTTTTCTAAATGATCTTGAGCTTTTTGACCAGTGACGGTTTCTTTTATTTTTTCTACACCAGCTTTTGCAGCGTCCATTATATTCTATAGTTTAATTAAATAAAATAACTACAAATAAAACAAAAAAAAAGATGTTAAGATAGAGCAATTTTGTTTGCTTCAAGAATAAGAAAAAAATGTATTGATAGATAAAATTTGACTAATTAGAGAGCCGTTTTTTGATATTATTCTTATTCTCACGCTTCTATCAGACTATTTTTGGAAAAAAAATCAACTGTATCATCGTTATTAATAAAGAATTTTGTAGAAAATATTACTTTTCTATGATAAAAATTATCAATGTATCAAAAGTAGATGATACCATTTTGTTCTGTCACTATTCCATGAAATGGAATTGTAAGAAGTTTGATATCGGCTACTTTTGTACTATACTATATTACTCTTTTTTTATTGTAAAAAAATAACTTTTGTGTCGATGCTCTAGTATATTCAAAATAAAGTACTAGTATAAAATATAAAACACTTACCTATTATTATGAGTAGAGTTGTGATGATAATTACGATATTAGAGCTATAGTATATATAGAGTAAAAATGAGGGATGAGTAAGATTAGTTCATCTATTATGTGGGATATACGTTTTATGCATCTTCTTTTTATTAATCAATTTGATATGCTATATTTTGTCTTCTCCAAGATCGATTTAATTTCGGACGACTCCCCTACGTTCAACTATGGAGATATAATATCCTTCTAGAAAGAGATAAATAGGTTACGCATGATTAACCACTCACATGCACATATACACACCTTTTTTTCTTTCTAGAATCCATGTTATAATGTCGTTTTTTTTTTTTTTATTTTATTTATGATAACTTGATTTTTTTTTTGCTTCTTTTTTACATAACATAATGGAAAGAAGATTATAGAAGGTTTGGTTTATTCTCATACTGGGGAAATGTACTTTTTTTTTATGAAGAAATAAGTAGAAAAGAAAATGTAGAAATCCAACAAAATAAATAAAATCATAGCATTGGAACAAAAAAATAAAGTTGGCTTTGAGTTGATGAAAAGTACTTTTTCGTATTCAATACACTCGATAACTCCCGTATCTTTGGCAAGGGATACTTCTAAATGTTTAGGAAAGATTTTCAAACTAATTTATTTTTTTTTCGCTATTTTGTTTCAAAAATTTTCCTAAACTTTTGGAAATACTTATCGCCAAAAATAGAAAATCTTCTGAATTATCGAGTGTGCTGAATACGAAAAAGCACTTTTCATCCACTCAAAACCAACTTTATCTTTTTTTGTTCCGGTGATATGCCCCAAAGATAAACATAATAAGTTAAATATACAAACTGATCATTCTATTGAATGAAAGCATTTTTAAATATACATTTTCAACAAAGAACAACAACAACGGATATTTTGATTGTCAAAGTGGTTGTAACATAACAACACCACTTAAGTGCCATGTATCTCACATTTTTAATACTAAGAACATTCATCGACGCCTTGTTTATCGAAAGATATTTCATCGAGAAGTTAACGGGTTTCTTAAAAATTTTTCGTCATACACTCAGATCTACATGAAAATATGTCAAACGTAGTCAAAAAAAATTTGAGTGATCTTGACTAGTGTTTGACTATTCGCTCGGTTTTTCGTTAGCAAAGGATGGGGGCGATTATCTGATGAAATCGATCCGTGCTTGAATTTCATTGACTAATCAAAGGCTAGATGTAGAATGAAGAAGGGAATATTTGTAGGTACTTACTAGACCTTAGAACCATTCTTAGAAAAAAAAAACTGGTCGAATCAAATTTGATTAAGTTTCTACTGCATCTGATATATATATTATAGATCGTAGTTTTGGATCTTTCTCTCTTAGTTTCACAATTCCTCATGACTGTTATATATCATTCGAAACATCTCTTTCTTCACTATATTTCTGTATATCACATATCGGCTAAAACGCGTAACTGTCACCCTCAGCTGCGGTGGTTGAGCGATATTTTTTCTCTCAAACCAGCCTTAAAAGCACATCATTAGACGCAGTTGTGTGCGCTGATTACGAATATCAACCTTAAAACGAACGAAACTCAAACTTTTAAGTCGAAAATTTACAATTTAAAAATTTTTTTATTTCAATTTTCTGACCTACTTAGTTTTTTAAAAAGTTTTAGAAAGTATATCAGTAGATAAAGAATTAAATTCTCTACAAAATGCACTATGACTTTGTGGAAACAATCTTAAAAAACGCATTTTGCACACTAAACAAGTTTCTGCTGGTTTTTGCCGAATTCGAAATGGTACTTTTTTTGGAGCAATTCTACGAAAATCAAAAACATTTCTCCCATCGTTCTTTTTTGCTTAGTTTGATAGAGGGCACTCGGTTGCATAAGGCTCCGTGCAGATCAAGTTTATAGAAGTCTTTTTTACCGATAGAAATATAACGATAAAACCCACCGCAAAAGAAAGCAAAAAAATGACATAATTCCGTCACGGAGCCATTTCGCTTGTTTCTTTTCATTTAAGCATTTTTCAGCGAGAGTAAAGAGATGATTCGAAAGCTCTTTTCATATTCTACAACTTTTATATTAGGCTTTTTTTCTGAATGTGTTTCGTTTTAGAGTATTTTTCAAAGTTTGTAGGGCACTCGAAAAAAAAGGCTAAAAAATGTAATTCCGTACCTATTTTGCTCATAAAAATCGTTCTACTTAACCGACGCATTCGAAATTTTTACCATAAATCAAGCATTCTACCGCACATCTCTGATAAAAATTTCGTCATCTTTTGTTCAGTATTTGAGGAGAAACAGAGCCCAAAAATTGAAAAAATGTAATTCCGTCACGCGCGTTTAAGCCGATATACGAAAATAGCCGTTCTGAGGTCAAGTATGTTTAGAAATACTTCTGGCTATACAAAATGATCTCCTACGTACAAAAAGTCTCAGATATTCTACGTATCGGTCACTACAATAAATAATTAAAAAATAAATCGTGTAATAAATTTAAAAATAAATAAATAATTTGTGCTCGTCATTCTCAATTTTCTCCATCAGAACTCAACTTTTATGCAATAAAAATATCATATTCGGCATTAGGATCAAAAACTGAGTCCAAAGTGTATTTCGAAATTTTTACTTAATTTTCAATTTTGGTGAAATTCTCGGTAATTTATCAACTTAAAAGTTCGACAAAAACTAAAGTAGTCGGATAGGATGAAAATACACATTGGTGGACTCAATTTTTGATCTTGATTCCGAATATGGTATTTTTATTGCATAAAAGTTGAGTTCTGATGGAGAAAATTGAGAATGACGAGCACAATTTATTTATTTATTTTTAAATTTATTACACGATTTAGTTTTTAATTATTTATTGTAGTGACCTAATGAGAAATGTTGACGTAGAATATCTGAGACTTTTTGTACGTAGGAGATCATTTTGTATAGCCAAAAGTATTTCTAAATATACTTAGCCTCAGAACAGCTATTTCCTTATAGAAATATAGCGAAGAAAAAGAGCTTTCGAATGATATATAACAGTCGTGAGGAATTGTGAAACTAAGAGAGAAAGATCCAAAACTACGATCTATAATATATATATCAGATGCAGTAGAAACTTAATCAAATTTGATTCGACCAGTTTTTTTTTTCTAAGAATGGTTCTAAGGTCTAGTAAGTACCTACAAATATTCCCCTCTTCATTCTACATCTAGCCTTTGATTAGTCGATGAAATTCAAGCACGGATCGATTTCATCAGATAATCGCCTCCATCCTTTGCTAACGAAAAACCGAGCGAATAGTCAAACATATATTTTATAAAAAACTGTACAAAAATCTCTTTTTGAGATTAGATTTTAGAAGATCTTTAGAGAATCTATTTACAATTTACAAATTGGTCTCTATCACTTTGTTTTTTCTCCATAGAATCTTTGAAATGGAAATCAAATGAGACTCTTCATCCTTCTTTAGTTTAAGTGCAATATTGGATTTTCTGTAAGAAATTCAAACTTTATTTGGTATCATTTTATCTTTCGAAATATCTTTATTTTGTATTAATTAATGATGATGATAATGCAATTTTTGTTTTTGTTTTAATTATTTCTGCGAATTTAATTTAATTTTTTGGATGTTACGGGTACTTTATTGTATAATATTTTGACACTTGATTCGTTTTTATATTTCTATGGTGTCGTTGTTTGTACTGCTACTACGTTATTATAATGGATAAGAATGCAATTTATTCATCAATTTATCATATCTGTCATCTATTGCGATTTATCAATAGAGATAAACAAAATCATAACTGATGCACAAAAAGTACAAAAATATAGTTGAAAAGTTCATGGAAAATATTCAGCTTTTGACATTTTGATTCCTTTCCAAGTAGTTATAACTGGTTCTAAAAACATTCTTGTAACATGCGAAAAAAATGTCTGCATAGGACACACACACAGTCGTTGGCGGGCCGCCAGCAGGACAATTGCCATATTGCTCTTCCTGAAAAAAATATCAAGGCAATATCAAGCAGTTATTACCGGATGAAGAATTATATTTCGTAGCAGAGTATCTGTCCAAAGTTCGAAATAAAGAAAGAGCAATTCTTGATCGAAAAATTTGATATTTAGTTTCAATGAAGGAAAAAGTGTGTTAGCACCGACATTTTTCCCCGCCTGCCCATGCAAACAGTTTCAATATTAAGTATCATATGGATCAAATGTTGATAAACTATGATGAAACATCTCTTTTCACTGTAGTAATTATATTATCTGCATATTATATTCGTTAGAAAATAGAAATATGACTCCGAGATAGGTCAATGCAAGATTCTAGAAATAATTTGTTTTTTAATATTTAATTAATATTGACTCGATAATAGTAACTAGAACAAATCTAAACTGATTCTAATCAGAAAGAATGCGTATGCAAGTTGCATTAAAATTTGCTGATATGAGATTCTTCATGACATTTTTATGTTGCATTCATTGCACGAAAGATCCCAAGGGGCATTTTGTGTTATTTTTCGTGTTCATTTTGCTGGTTTTAACAGATTAGGACTTTTCGTACAGTGAATGCAGTTGAACGTAAGAATGTCATGGAGAGCGTATAATTTTATACAATACTGTCAGTCCATTGTCACTTGCCCGTTCAGGCAAGATCTGATCTCGAGAATCATTAGTTGTCTAATGGGATGGGAAGTGTTCATTCTACTCCTCGTGCGTTGATTATTCACCGTATATTAAACTTAAGTCTTCAGCCTTCTTTCTCTTTTATGACAGAGACGAATAGCAAACATAGCTCAATTTTGCGCAATTTATCTTGCCCGATTTGGCAATATTGCTCGTTCGGGTAAGGTATCTTGCCCGATCAGGCAATCTTTTGTCCTTGCCTAATCGGGAAATATTGCTCAAATGGACAAGTTCGTCCGATTAGGCAAGATAATCCTGAGGCAGATATAGTTGATCAGTTTTCTGACCGTACAAGAAAACACCGCATCATCCAAGGAAAACTTTATCTGATGCAGTTTTTGCCGCTCTATCATGTGGAATAAGTATCCACATGCACTATAGCTTTGATTTATGCGCTATTCTGTTGAAAGAAAAAGTGTGGAAATCTTGCCAAAACGGGTAAGATACTCCTTGCCCGATCGGGCCAGAAAGCGTGACAACGGACTGACTGTACTCATCGAACAGGGACGGATTCAGGATTCTACCGATGACGTGGCAATTTCTAAACGATGTCGTTCGAGGTAGTATGAATATTTTTTCTAAGGAAGTCTGGTAGTTTACTTGCATTAGAATTTCATTTGCAAGGGGGCGGCGACCGGCAGACCGCCGTAGTGCTAGATCCGCCACTGTCATTAAACTCCAGAGCGTACTTTGAATGTGATTGTCGATGTATAGTTTCTTTTTGACTTCTTTTACCCTAAAATTCACATAGCTAATTCATTATGCATCATTTTTACTTGAAGATGTTAGGAATATAAAAACTATGACCATATTCTATGAAGGTGTGTATTTCTCGAAAGAGATAACCGTATTACTCATCGTTATCATGGTATTTTAGACACTCGGTTCATCTAGTTTCAACATTTATTTTCGGTACAAAGTGACGAATCATGCGTATCATACAAGCATATTTCGTAGCACTCTTTTCATTTTTAGCTTTCTGTAGAAATGCTGCTAAAAAAAGAAAAAAATGATTAAGACCTGATATTTCACGACTAATTGAAGAGTCAGTAGAGCGTATTTTTTCTCTTTTGTTATAAGTTTCTATTTAACACGATAGTTTTAGTAAAATTTCTTTTCAATAACATGACAAACCCCTATGACCTTATCCGATCGGACTATACAAAACAATATTTCAAAAAATTGAAACTGAAGTTGATTTTCGTATAATAGCTTATTTGTGTGGATCATCATTTATCCAACGTACAAGATGATAGCAAAAAACAAAACAAAAGAAAACAACAACAACACGTATACATATCTGGTTTAACTTTATACGTCAACATATACAGAGAGAAAAAAAAACCTAGAATAGAAAAAAGTAGAGAACAATGGACGAAATACTGTTTTGTTTTCAGATATGAATAGATTCAATTTGCTTTGAATCGCACTTGTAGCTGTTTACCATGATATGGCATACGATCAAGACTTTGTATAGCTAATTGAGCATCTTGATATCGTTCCATGGCAACAAATGCAAAACCTTTTCCTAATCCTGTATTAAAATCAATAATGACATCAACACGTAGAACACGACCATATTGTTGAAATAACATTAATAATTCTTCTTGTGTTGCTCGTTGACCAATTCCATAAACATACACAACATAGCCACCTTTTGGTGATTCTTGCGGTATTGTTCCATCACCTAACATTTGTTGTGGCTGTTGTTGTTGAGCATACATTGTAGCTGCTAATTGATCGTATTGACCACCATACATAGCTTGATCATAATAAGAAGAATACTGTTGTGGTTGTTGCTGATACAATTCGGCACTATTACTATTATTTGTTCCCCATCCTTGTTGATTATACCGAGATTGATATTGTTGTTGCTGTGAAAGATTTGGATTCATTCTATTTGTTATGGTTGTGCTTATTGGTTGTGATTGTTGTTGTTGTTGTTGATCATTTGATTCAGCACCAGCATTTGAATTAGTCTGAAAATTTTCCCTAAAAAGAAATAATAAATGTACACATAAATCCAAAACGCATATTGTTTTGCAAACAAAAAAGAAAAGTAAGCAATAAATTAAATAGCAGCAAGAAAAGTTAATTTTAACATTGGAAGGTGCTCAAACATTGAATTTTTTCTAAATATGACTTTTAACCCAAAACTTATAATAAGATACGTTCAGAATAATAAGAGATAAAGGTAAGATAGTTTATGCTAAACTTAAAATTTGAAATGTAGACAAACTCTATGTTGTATAAAAGTAATGTGTCAGACGAGAAACATGGGCAAAAACAATTAATCATCTTTGATCTCCAAAAAAAACGTATTCTATATTAAAACTGAAGCAGTGCTAGCTTTTTCTAAAGATCAATTCAGTTTGAAACAAGCATGAGCATAGCTAGTTTTCACAATTATTTTTTTTGCTAGATAACTCAAAACTAGTGGTATGAGTCATCAAGCGTGAATGCAAAGGTAACAATATGAGCAACTCACATCATTGTATCAAATCTAAATACATCAAAATACACGTAATATTTTTAGTTTTATCAATCAATAATTATAATTAAACAAAGAAAGATCTAAAAAATTCTTATATTACTCAATAAACATAATAATGTAATATTACAATAAGAAACACAAAGGAAAACATTAGTGTAGTACTCTCAATAGCTCATTAGGAAGGATATCTCTCACAATTTTCCATCAACTATACGAAGTTACACAGTTGTATCAAAGACAAGAAAATCTGATCATATTCTAAATTTAATCATTGTGAACTCAACTCTGTAGTGTAAATGCCCCGTTTAATCATAATATCTATCAATCTTTTGTTTTTTATTAAACTTACGAGGGAACCTCTTGAGGTTATAAATGGCTTTTGAACTCAGGCTACTTTTATCTTGTAGATCTCAGTGCGTAGTGAAATACCCTAAGTTGATTTGTGCCCATGATACTTTGTTGCTGAGATACAGTTTTTGCCTACAGAACTTGGATTTCGAGCAAAATCCGACTTTCGAATTTGGATTTGAAACTTGCCACACTTGTAGCCCATGGTCATAGTGGTACGACGAAAAAAATTCTCCTGCCTTCAGATATTGAGACTCAAATATTTGAGCCTTACCTTCTGGTGAAATATTCGAGTCTCAATGTCTCAAGGCAGGAAATTCATTAGCATCGAATTTTTTTCGTCGTACCACTGTGATCATGGGCTACTAGTGTGGCAAGTTTCAAATCCAAATTCGAAAGTCGGATTTTGCTCGAAATCCAAGCTCTGTAGGCAAAAACTGTGTCTCAGCAACAAAGCACCATGGGCACAAACCAACTTAGGGTATTTCACTACGCACTGAGATCTACAAGATAAAAGTAGTCTAAGGTCAGAAGCGATTTATAACCTCAAGATTCCCTCGTTAGATATCAAGTGTAAGTTATAACCATTTTCGGTACAGCCCGCTTGCACGTGTTGACATTTAAATTTTAATCCAGACTTGATTTTTTTCGCATCCTCAAGTAGTAAACGAGATATGTGACAAAAAAATTTAAAAAACAAACCAAAATGCAATATTTAATAAAAAGTACAAATGACGACAACAAACAACACAAAAACGATAAAATCAGTTAACTGACAAAACATAAATATTGAATACATAACAAACCAATATATCTTACCATTAAATGGTTCAATGAATGAAATATCCTATATTTTTCTTTACAATCTGAAATGGATAAAAATGAATTTTCAATTTGATGTATACAACATAAGGTGAGAACAGGATACTGACATAATTTCATTAACATTCTGAAATTTTAACTAGAAACTTCTTTCTTAATCATGTATGTAAATTATAGAACTTTGCTTTAGACAAATAATAGAGAGAATGAAGCATAAACAAACAAACTGAGGAATGTCCAGATAAATCGAGAGTAGATAGGAGATTTTTGTACAAATGAATTGATTAATTGAATATATAGCAATTAAATCATACAGCGAGTGTGACTGTTATGAGTTTGAATAAAATTGCAAAAATAGTTATCATAACATCTTCGAAAATTGATTTTCATGCGAGAGAATTCTTGATCAAAAATCCTGAATTTTAGAATGTTACGCGTTTAGCTAATTTGCGGCACAAACACGCAAGAAGCTGCAAGTGTAGAGAAAATAACACGCAGGAAGCGTACGTTGCCATCAAAACAGGCTTTGCTCGCGTGTCATTTTCCCTACACTTGCAGCTTCTTGCGTGTTTGTGTCGCAAATTCGGTAAATGCATAAAATTTTTCGTAAATTTTGGAATCCTGCAGTTTTCAGAATGACTATGACTGACTGGGAGTAACCACAATTTTCAGGCACAACGTCGAGCTGATCAACAGTTAGTATCCAATTAACGGTCGATTTTCAAAACACGTAGAAATTACCTTTTGAGCGACTTTAGCTATATTTCCTACCAAAATAAAACAAACATTTTAAAAAGAAATATTTTCTAATAATAAAATATTAATAGACAATATCTTCAGTCTTCAAAAAGACGGTTTAAATCAGTTCGTTAAAACTGATGTACAGGGAGGCTTTTACTTGTAGAATAGAAAAGCTTTTTTAATACTTTACAGTACTATTCAGTAGTCAGAAAGAAAGGCTATGATAAAAAAACGGTTATACCAAGAGTTTGATGCTTCTGGCAGTCAAAAAACATTTAAGACTAGAGTCTCACTATATATTTCTCCTCCCTCTCGAGACGACCAGGGGTATTTCTCGCACAACGGCTCGTGGATGTTCCTGAAGATTGAATAATCATACGGATTGTACATCAAAACAGATGATACTGCACTATCATCTGTTTTGATATTAAATACCTGTTGTGATGTACCTGATGTCAATGCAAGGAGACAATGGCGCACTTTGGATTTTGAACTTTTATGAGCTTTGATAGATGTTAGTGGAATTCTAATGAACTTTATTGAACTTCAGTGGACTTTTAAAGTTCAAAAGTTGGACTTGAGTTCGCTTTTACCCCCTGTGCATCTACGTCAGTACACAATATGATTTTTGTACAACAAAAGAGAAGTCTTTTTGTATGCCGTACTTTATAATCTTCCTTACAAAATAATTTCGTATCCTCGAATACCTTGCACATCTCTACGATCTATTTCTATGATAAATTTTGTATTCTCTTCTGAAAAGTGATATCATTTAAAAGATTCTTTAAAAATAAGATTCAGTAAAGCGTTTTTATTTTTTCATTTTCTTTATAAAAAAAATACCATCACACTAACAAAGATCACAATATCTCTAAAGCAAAAGTTTATGGTTAGGGAGAAATAGTAGTTTTAATACGGTATGGGATTAATTTGCTTTAAATCGAACTTGTAATGTTCTTCCATGAAATGGCATTCGATTTAAACTTTGTATTGCCATTTGTGCGTCTTGATAACGTTCCATCGCCACAAAAGCAAAACCTTTACATAGTCCAGTATTAAAATCGATAATTATGTCGCATTTTAGAACTCTACCAAACTGTTGAAATAGCTGAACTAATTCTTGTTGAGTTGCTCGTTGTCCAATGCCATAAACATAAATTAAATATCCAATATTTTTATTTAACCAATTATCAAACGTTGCTAATGATGTTGTTATTGCAGCAGTCGTTGTGAGACCCGGTCCATAAAGACCGGTATCATAAGCTTGAGCATATGAAGGTGGCGGATAACCACCAACCGATAAAGCAGTTCCAGCTGTTGCAACAGGCAAAGCATAATATGGTTCATAATAGGCAGATGCTAATGTCGATGATGAAGGAGACCATTGTTGAGTTGAATCAAATCGATTTGAACGAAAACGTTTAGCTGTTTTATCATTCGAATTCATCGTTAATGTTGATATTTGATATTGTTTGTCTCCATTGATGCCTTCCGTATTAAACTCATCTCCACCTCCTCCATAATACTGTGGAGACATACTATAGACTCCATTCATTTCACTAATATGACCATAATGTTCACTAGAAAAGACAAATTAAAACTTAATCACACATAAATTATATGCAATCTCGAATAGAATTAATTCCTCTTTTCGACTATTTATTTTTCAAATAAAACTAATTTATACTGTGATACGTACCCCAATACTCTAACCATATTTCTTCTTTTACTGTCTGGATCGGTAAATTTTACTACTAACTGTTCTTGACCATCTTTTGGTATTGTTCCATCTAATTCTTGACATGCCTGTTGTGCTTGTGAACGTGTTTCCATAATAACAAATCCAATACCTCTTGATGACTGAGTATTTTGATCACGAATAACACGTGTTTGAATTATTTTGCCATATTTTGAAAATAAATCGTCTAATACAGTTTCATCATAATGACACGGTATATTTTTTATATAAAGAGCTAAAATTTAATTAAATCTGTAAGAAGATAATCAATTTTAAATAATATAATTTATAACTATACTTGTATTTCTTGTCTCTAATGACTGTGGTCTAGCATAAGCTACTTTTAATCGTTTATGTTCAATTTGATATCCATTGTATTGTTTACATGCTTGTTCAGCGTGATCAACTGTTGTATATTCAATGAAACCATAGCCATATGAATATCCTAAAGACAAATTATACTGTAGAGAAAGAAAGAATATAGAAGAAAAAAATCATTACCCGTTTCTTTGTCAAACATTAATTTACATGATTTTAATGGTCCAATTTTAGAGAATAAATGATAAAATTCTCTTTGTTTTATCGATTGTGGTAAATAATTAACGATTAAACTATGTTTTGATGAATTATCATCGATTGTTGTGGATGATGAAGATGTTGTTGTGATTTCTGACGAACTATTATTTGATGATGATGAACTAGATGGAGATGAGAGTACGAAAGTTGTGGCTGTCGAGTCCGTTGTTGTTGGTGGTGGAGGAGATGTTTCAGCACTCACAACCATGATGGTAAGTAAAAAAATAAAAAATAAAAACAGAAAATAAATGAAATAATAAAAAAAACAATAGGTTCTAAATTGAACAAAAAGACCAAGATGATAAACAAGCAAAACATCTTCTGGCAAAAAGAAGAGTAAGCTTCGCAAAAGAACGCACAATACAACACTCAACTCTATTGATAAATACTTTGAGTTTAAATATACTTGAGATGACTAAGCTAAATAAAGCTAAATTTTGTTCGCATTCAACTTGATGATCATGAATTCGTTGGTAGAGTCATATGTTCATATTTTCACTTTATCGAGCAGAACAAAATAATAAAAATCTTTATCATTAATATTTGATATTCAACGTTCTTTTCTTTTCGTTTTTCTATTCATGATCTTCTCTTGTGATTACAGATTGACATTACAGTTAAAATAAATACGATATGAAAACGAAGTTCAGGGATCGCATACTACACACACACACACACGTCTATTTCGTACAGTATAAAACTTTCTCTTTTTTCAAATAAACAAGTGCTAACACTTGTACAACAATAAAAATTTCACAGTACGTGATACTTGGTGAGATTTCTCAAGAATTACTCAGCTAGTTTATACAAGAATTGTTGTGTTTAGAAGACAGAATAATACTATAAATGGAAACAGACAGAAGAATTCGATTAGGTATAGATCAAACAGCGTACAAAAAGGTCTCCTATTCATAGCTATGAACATGGCAACTGAAATAACTCACTGCTCTTTGAGATATATCTGTGAAACATTCTGTTTTGCCGAAACCGTTGGTTTTCCATGAGAAACGCAGTGTTGAAATGCGAACAACAAGCAAGACGAACTTCCTTCGATCTAAGATTGCAGTTTTGCACCATTGAAAAATGGTAACAAATTTCTCTATGCTCATAAAACTATTTCCACTCCTTTCTTTGTTTCTAACCGTTAGCGAAACATGTTAGAATGTGATTAAACTAAGAACTAGGAAAAATATGGTTATATCAAATTGGTAATGATTCTATGTTTTAAAAGAGAATATTCTGGATTAATAAGTTGTGATACAAATTAATTGTATTCACATCATAAAGGTATATTCACTATTTCTTACAGTTCAAAGATGCGAGATACTAAACTGTAAATGGACCTTTTTTTAGAATTTTATTTTCCACCTTAGAAAAATAACACATTGTTGGCTCAATTCTTACTCTTGAAATGAAATTCGTAAGACTAAAGTACAGTAATCATACAAGAAATTCTAATAGCTTTCTGCTGCAACTAATATGGATCATTAATAAATATCAAGGAATTACTTTATAACAGCTTTACACACTGTAGAGTTTAATCAAACAAACAAAAATCACTCAGAAAATATTTTCTACTAATAGAGCATGTTTGGACCGACGTCTATCGTACTTGTTTTTAGTATCAAAGTTTTGTTGAAATAAAGAAAATAATCAATATTATATTTCTCTTTTACAATAAACAACGGTTATACTCGTTTATTGTTTTTGTTAAACACGAAAACATATACAATAGACAGTCGAGTAAAACAGAGATGATAAGAATAATAATAACACAGAAAAAGAGACTCAGTGTACATAATTACAGATCATTGTTATTAATTGGTTTTAAATCGAACTTGTAATGGACGTCCATGAAATGGAGCTCGATTTAAACTTTGTATTGCCATTTGTGCATCTTGATAACGTTCCATCGCCACAAACGCAAAACCTTTACATAGTCCAGTATTAAAATCGATAATTATATCTACTCGTAAAACACGACCAAATTGTTGAAATAATTGAATTAGTTCTTGTTGAGTTGCTCGTTGTCCAATACCATAGACATAAACAACATGACCACCTTTTGGTGATTCAGGTGGTATTGTACCGTCATTAACAACTAAGCCTTGTGGTTGTTGTTGATGACCATACATAACAGATTGTTGTTGTTGATCATATTGTCCACCGTACATAGCTGCTTGATTATAAGCAGCTGCTTGTCCATAATATGGATCATATCCGGCGTATTGTTGTTGTTGCATACCATAGGCACCTTGTTGAAATGGATCCATTCCATATGGCCCACCACTCATTTGTTGTTGCTGTTGTGGCTGACCACCCCAACCACCACCACCCATCATGTTTCCGTTACTACCCATCATATTTCCGCCTCCACCTCGTCCCATTGGATCATAACGATTATTATTACGTGGAAAACCACGTTTTGCTTTAAAACTTGTTTGAGGTCGTCCAGTTGACACTGTTGTACTTATTTGTTGACTCGGATTTCCAGCCATTCCTCCAGTTGCTGTAACACCATTTGTTTGACCATCATTACCACCAGCAAATGCTCCGCCATTATCCCTACAATAAAGAAACGAAATAAAACTCATCATGCCTTTCAAGGATCAGCATGAAATATGGGTGGTAGAGTTTAGGCTAAGAAAAAATTTGATGTTTTTACATCAAATTTTTTTGAGTATAAGGTTCGTTCTAGTATCGTATATTCGTCCCCATAAAAACTATCGGATCTATTTCAGTGTACAATGAGAGTTTGAATGCACTCCAGTGAAATATTATAAAATGCAAAAAATATATATACGCAATAAAAAGTAAAAATAATTGAAAACTCACATAATTCGTGTTGACAATTAGGACGAAAGTAAAAACGAAAACGGGTATATATTCTATAGTCTTATTCTTCTCTTATTACACAAGATATGTGTTTGATCAAAATTCAAAATGATCTAAAAATTGAGTGAAAAACAAGCAAAATAAAAAAGTAACGTAGAATCATTCACACAGATATTTCTTAATTCAGCACTACTGACAAAGAACTCAGTTTCTTTTAACTATGGAATAATAGAGTAAGCCATATTGTAGATGATCGTTAAAAATAATGTACTAGAAATGATATATTGGCTTTTCAATGAGCAAAATGAAGCTAAATCCAATTAAAATTTTTCTATTAACTGTAAATGAATAGTGCAGGTTAACAAAGCTAAGCATCAAGTTAATTAAGATAATCTTTATCGAAATCTTCAACGCCAAACTTTTAATAGGATTCTTTTAAAAGTTAGACGTTTTATTACAATCTCCCTTTTGGAGCTATCGACAATGAATAAAATGGTACAGATAGTAACGATGCTCTTCGAACTGGTTTCAGCCATGTCAGGAAGCCTATTGACGCGATAAAAACGATCTAAAATCTATAGAAGAAAAAAAAACGAGTTTAATTTTAAAAAACAACAGAAAAAAAAACACCGAAAATAGCTGATGAATCGGCGACATTGAAAACCATACTGCTCATCGTCCAAAATCCTTGTTTGTTCAGCCATCATGATTATTGGACAGAAGCGATGGTAGATTAAAAAATAGCGGAAAAATAGAAAAAAAATGCGAAAAAAAGGAGAGAAAGTGGATAAAACGCACCTGTGTACATCGACGAATTGTGGCAGTTTGATGGAGAAAATATCTCTAGTTCAAAAATATTAAAAAACAAAAAAAAGTAAAAAGGTTGTCTAAAAAATAAAAAATAAAAAAGAGATATTGAATAAAAGCATCCTTATCTCTGTTATCTCGCCTTGATACTAAGCAAAATAAAAAACGAAACGTATCGTTTTTGCAAATCGATCGTGACAAACAACACGTATATCTGGCTCAATGATGCAATTATGAGTAGTCGAAAAAAGATTTAAAGTTACCTCTTTTAATACTTGTACATTTCTCCACCGAGCAGCATTAGCATTTAATAATAGCCGATTCTAAAACAAATAAAAAAAAAGAAGACTTATAAATTCATTTTCATCAACTAGTTCTTCATTAGTATCTGATTACTCTCTCTATAACTCTGTAAAAAGAGCTCTATTAGAGAAGAATAAAAATAAAGTGTTCATTAACCACAGTTTACAAGAATCAACTGAGAAGAAACGTTGCTTTAAAACTAACAAGTGATAAAACTTGTTGTTATGCATAAATAAGAACAGTATAGAGTGCATTTTATGGCAAAAAAGATGAAAAATTAAAAAGTTGGTTAAATTAAATCATAAAATTCACAGTACAATAAAACTCAGAAAATATCTTAATATATAAATACAAAAGGCAACAATTATCAAGCGTATCTCATCTAACTTGCAGAAAGCGTATCGAAAGTAGCAATAAGTTAAAAGAAACTTTATGCGATGTAATAGAACTAAAGTAAATCACAATAACTACATACAATACGTAATACTTCGTTTATTTCCTGTTTTAAAAAGTAAAGTATGGAAACATCATATTGCAATCACCAGACAATAAATATTTGAAATTGTTTTTGATCACGGTGATAATAATTTTATACCATGATTATTCTAAATTCATCTGTTTATAGCAATTATCTTCAAAATCTAAACAAAACACTATAGTCAGAAAAGGAATATGATATAATTACGATAAACATTCTTTATGTTTAGAAGTAATGTGTTGTTAAATTTATCAAGTAAGAATATAGCAAAAACCGAGGATGGTGCTGTCTCTGAGAGATAGAACCAAAGTTTAAAGACAGTCAGAAACACTGACACGAAAAGTGAGAGGTCATAGATTTATCATAACAATGACTCAAGCCAAACAACAACAAAAAGAAACTATAAACAGAGAAATAAAAACAACAACAACAGAAAACCAGTCTATGAAGAAAGATAAAAAGAATAAAAACAAATAAACAAAATAACAAGAAGGTAACAGCACTGACCTTGTTTTACAACTGTAAACATGGCTAAGTTCTACTGTAAAAGATCCTGAGCTATTTTGAACGAATGACTGATTCTCGAAGTTTATTCCAGTCAATAACTGCTGAATAAAACAAGAAAGAAGGAAAAGTCTGTAGAGAAAAACCATTGGCAGGTGGTAGTATAAATATATTCGGAATGATGACAACATAACGAAGAATGATGAGGACGATCAGCAGTGTAGAAAATGGAAGGACGACTAAGATGATGATAAATTTTGAAAAATTGTACCAGCCGAAAATATTTACGACAAAGTGATATAAATCTGACCTGGAGCTAATCCAAAGACACGACTCAGTGCCCCCAGTATGCGTCGACAAGCAACGTTACGTTGCTAACACGGTCATTCCAAATCAGGTCATGCGAAACATGAACGTCAAAACAGCAAACAGACGAAACAAAAGAAAGAAAAACGTTATTTAGATAATGTTGATTATAAGCAAGTGGAAAAAGGTCAAAAGAAAAGGACGCCAAGAACATTTGGAGATGTTTAGAGGCATGAGATTTGAGGAAGATCAATTTGAAACAGAATTTATACAATTTTGAACATGAGAGAAATCAAGAGAATTAGAAGAAGAAAGAGGGACAACTAAAAGATATCATCCGCAAAAAGACAGATTTCGCAATTTTTCGGAAATGAAAGAGGCAAATCATTAATAAAAATAAGAAAAAAAAGCAGCCAAAGCACACTGCAAGAAATAGGAGGAGAAGAGATTGAATCATTCGCACGTTCACACTGTAGACGATTGAAGAGGTAAGAAGACAAATGAGAAAGTAAACAATCACTCATGTCACAATGGGTTAATTTTTCTAACAAAAAAGAATGAGATACAGAATCGAAAGATTCAGAATAATCAAAAGACACAACAACATTCCAAAAGTTAGAGACAGTATGAGAGTGAAACAACAAAGAATCAAGAATGGACTATTCAGAGCAAAAACTAGATTGTTTATTTACAAAAAAAGAATGTTTAGAGAGTTGAGGAAAAAAAAGTATAAATCAAACAGTCGATCGAGTAAAGAATATGCACTTTTCAGCACTTACCCGTTAATCAATGATAATCATTGTTAGCAAAGACAGAAATTCTGTCAATTTGTTTCAGTACAATTGAGTGGTATGCGATTATTTATCTATAAAATAAGTAAAAAAGTAAATGAAAAACCCAGTAAAAGAGAAAGAATCAACTGATAAGTCATTAAAAGTCGTGAAATAATTGAGCCGAATCACATTGACTATGCTTTACTTTGCATACTACAGATTTTTGTGGTTTTTGTTATAATTATCAGTCTTACTCCACCCAGCCATCTTGCTTTGTGGTCATAACAGCTTGTTTCACAACCAATAAGAAAAACGATTTCACAAGCAGAACTAACTCAATATTATACAGTGTTATTCTTGAATAATTAATTGGTGTACACATTATTAAGAATCAATGAACAAAAATCCTTTGGAATACTTTCTGAGTGTACAGTGGCGTCTATTTATCAATGTGTTAGAATACATAGATATTCCGTCAGATATTCTGAATTGATACACTAACGCTTCACTTTATATAAATTTGTGTCAATTCATCTCTCAGTTGATCCAATATTTCTATGGCAACACATGCTAAAGAATTTCAAAATGTTAGAACTATCTTTAAGTACTAGGTTAACCTTTGAGAATTGAAACGGGGGAACCGGTCTGATTTGTGAACATCTGCAATTTACATAATATCTAGATGTTCAGACATCCAGATATCTTCCTCTTTGAGGGTAGCGAATATCAGGGAGCGCCTCATTCTCATCTGCTCCTGCCATATAATAATCCTCACCAATTTCTACAACAGTGTGCAACAACCTGTGGCGGGCCACCATTGTGGCAAAGTGTGGCAGTTGCCACACCAAAAACTTTTATTCGTTCTGGGTTTTCCTGTACGACTATTTTTTTTAGAAGTTTCTTACACTTTTTAATAATTTTGCCACATCAAAAAAGATGACCATGACCCACCGATGGCAACAACTAGTCCACTACTTGCTCAACTTCTCCAAACGGGGGTTTTGTAAGACTATCCGTGACTATCGCATTTGTTTCATTGTTTTATGAAGTGAGGCATAGTTTCAATTAAGGGCTAGTGCTAAAGAGTGAAATACAGCTTTATTAAAATAAAACAACAGGAAATTTCTCATACAAGAATGTTTGTACCTGATGTACAAGATTAGTATTTGATTAATACGCGTCGAGGTAGAAATTTCAGACTATTTTACGAGAATCTTTACTTTAGTGCCTTCATAAAGCACTTTGTTGTAATAAGACCAAGCAACCTAGTCAATTACTTTGAAAAGCATCACAACGAGGAATTTTCTGACTATAGGCGGATAAAGATCGGTATCACATTTAAAAAGTAGTTTTGAGAAAATTTTTTGGTTTTGTCGTATTATGAACTCAGACTCATCTGTTTTCCGGGAATTCTATCAGTTTGACATGCACCCATTTTTCTCAAATCAAACCGATCAGACCCAAAACCGAAAAAACTTTGTAAGATGACTTTCTTATTATTCATATGATACATTTTCCATGTACACACACAAAAGTGGCCAAGAGGAATGATGGTAAGAATATCACGAACATTATTATAAACAGAGGAAGTTGTTGTCATGTATATCATGAAGACTGAAAGTTAAGAGACCGTTTAAGGTTACTCTATTTTCGAAGTTTCAAGAACGGAAAAAATAATTTTTCCCAAAGATTTTTGCGAAGTGCTATATCGGTATTGGTTCCTATTTCTGACACTTGCCAGTTTTTTTAAATGCTTACCAAGTAATCAAATATGGAAATCAACTATTTTCACAACGGTTTTTCGAAACGTTTTCTTCTTTGTTCCTTTGACACAATATGACAATGTTTCCTATAGTGAAACTTCTCATAATTAAGATTTTGACTCGATTTACTCAAGATCTTGAAGTTTCCGTCCTCAAGATGTTGCTTGAAAGATTTAAGGATACAAAATCTTTCGATCCATGAGTATTTTTTCCAGATCTTCTGATATTTCTTAACCTATTTCACTCTAAAAATATAATATGTGGCAAGCGGAAGTGGAAAGATATGTTGCAAATTAATGTGTCACAAACGGGTGTCGTCATAAATCATTAGCCGATAGTTAACGGCATCACTTGCATAAATGCCTTACATATTCACAAACTTTATTTTTCAAAGCAGCATTCTTACAGTCTGTAAACCGAGACATCCAAGTCGGCAAATGACTCTGGCTTATTTTGAAATTTTAGTTATGAGAAAACGATAGGCATAAGAGTGGCGGCGAGAAGTAACCGCATCATATTATGCGTAGTCGCGTCGAGGGCGTAGTAAGAATATCGTGCTTCACTTATTATTAGTAAGCAAAACCACAAAAAAGAAATAAAAAAAAGCACCAATTGTGGTGGAATATTCGAGAGTCGCAAGTATTTTTCGCTCGACTTAACTGCGATCGAGGAAAGTCGGGTCTTGTTTCGTGAGTCTTTACGAACACGTTATGCGTCCCCGCCGCGAATTTGTTTAGCGTCTTGGTTGATAAGAAGGTTGACTTCAAAGCTTATTTAAAAGTTTCAAAATTATATAAATGGGAATATCGAAAAGCGAAAAATACATATAAAAGAAATTGTCGACATAAATGAATCATTCGTTTAAATAAAAGATATAAAGATGTTGAAGAATAATCAAAAGTAGTGTTGATAGGAGTGATTCTATATTTATTCCTTCTCTATTAATTCGTGTTGTGTGTTTTTGAACTCATGTAGCAAGTATAAATTCTATATATGAGTAAACAAAGTATTGCTTCATACTGCTAGCAGGGGCGTACCTAGCATCTTACAACAGAGGGGTGGTCCTGGTAAAAAAATTTTTGTTCTCCCAAAAGAGATGATTTTTGAAGAATGAAAGAGACAGACATATCACCGAATCGATCTGGTACACGATAAATTTTGGATCGGGGTACTTCAGAAG